ATCCCCCCCCCCCGTTCACTGGAAATACCATCCCACACAGGCTTCAATTAGGTAAGGTACCCTTTTACATTTTAACCCAATTCCTTAAGGTCAGGTACATTCCATGGGTGGAAGACATACTGCCCAGTGTGGTATATTGGCTCTGCTCTCAGACTGCTGAGTATTTCCGGCCTCTGTTGGTCCTGGCAACGTTTTCGGGCTAACGAGCTTTGAATAACGCTCTGCCATTCTCGCGACACACTCTTGTGGCCACACTCTTGGGCTGATGAGTTCCAAGACTGCATGGTCACTTTCACTCCACCCATGGGGAATAAACCGACCAAGGAAATATCCCCCACCACTCCACTGGGATGCCTGATAGAAAATTTAAAACCCTTTCACTTAATGCCCCTTGTAAAGTCACCCAGACTTATTTACCTTTGTACTGAAAAGTAGCCTAGATATGCCCTAGAAAATAATTCAAATTGGCCACATAACGGCTCTCTAGATCCCGATATTTTATGGGATCTTTCAAATTACTGCCAGGGAACAGATAGATGGAAGGCATTTTTTTTTTAATATCTCTGCTAAACAATCTCTTTCCCTAAACTTGTTTCGGTTCTCTTCCCGGCACGCTCAAATTCTCCTGCCTGCCCCAGCTGCAACCTGTCTCAGCATGGTGGGCTGGGCTGAGGCAGCATCTGCTCAAGACAAAATTACATCTCAAAACTTTAGGATTTCTTTCAGCTGTTGGGAATATGTTTATGGCAGCCACCATCTTGACCATGTGGCCTAGCTTTACCCACCATGGTTCTTCTTTCTGCTACATCAGCCATCTAGGCAGAAAGAGTCTAGCCAGCTTCTGCCACCAACAGAACCTGTAAGTCATTTACCGTTTGCCTTTTATTCTTTGTAATATCTTTTTTCTCTGACTATGTTATACATAGCTTCACACTCTTGTCCTTCTCAATTTACCCAGTCCTGAATAATATATCTGTACATTCGATTTCAACTTAACTTTATGTAAATGTAAGCTAACTTCATACAACTTAAATTCAACTGTTCTAAGTCTCAAATATTTCTAAATTATTATGTGCCTTTAAATGGTGGAATTTCAGGACTGAAAAACAGGACGCGGCACCACAGGAAGATGAGAAATGTTGTCCTGGAACTTCAGAGACCAGAAGAAGTTTAGGAACTGAAAAGATCGAAACAAGCCCAGCACATGCTGGGAACTGTAGTTAGGGTCCTTGAAGTCCAGAAGAGAATGTCAAGGGGAGAAAAGAAAGAAGCAGCCACACAGCATGCTGGGAAGTGCAGTTCTGGACCCCAAAGTTTTTAACCGGAAGTCCATTCATAGAAAAGCGGACACAAATCATGCTGGGAAATATAGTCCTTGGCTGCCAAAGATGAAAATAAGAAGTCCCTGGGCAGGGAAGCAGGAAGTGGCCACAGAGAATGCTGGGAAATGGAGTCCTGGGCCTCCAAAAACTACAAACTGGAAGTTTCATTGCTGAAAAAGAGAAAGCCACCGCAGAGCATGTTGGGAACTACAGTCCCTGGCCAGTACAGATGAAAACCAGAAATCCCTGGGCATAAAAGCAGGAATCGACCGCACAGGATGCTAGGAAATGCAGTCCTGGACATGAACATCCAAACCCAGAAGTCTCTGGGCAGCGCAGCAGTAAGTGGCCGCATAGGATGCTGGGAAATGCAGTCCCAGCCACAGCAGTTACAAAAGTTCCTGATGGCCCTGGCTCAGGTCATCCTTGGCTGCTGCGATCTGGGAGCAGAAGTAGTCATGCCCCACCCTTGATGATTGACCTGAGTCTCTACTGCCAGGTTTCCCTTGCCAGGAAGTCCCGCCCTCGGCTTGCAGCCTGCCCCTCTACCTTTATGAAGATAGCTGACATGGCCCCGCCCAGTCAGCCTGTAGATCACACCCTCAGCAGACCTCATGGCCCAGAGGCAGGAGGTGGGGTCTGTAGTGATTGACAGCTGGAGGGGCAGGGCCTGCGGTGACTGACATCACAAGGGCCTGGAGGGGTGAGTTCTGTGATGTCACAGGGGCCACACTCAGCATCCTCAGGGTTTTTACTCTTATAACCTGCTCACCATGGCCACCGCCCTCTGGGTCCTAGCATTGCTGCTTGGTAACCTAAGAGTTTGGTAGGAGATTCCTGCCATGCCCAGCTGAGGGTGGAGATGGTGAGGGTAGGGAAGGAGGGCACTTCCTGATCACGGTCACAATTTCCTGTGATGTCATTGCCCGGACCAAGTCCTGTCTGCACCATAGGTAATACCCAGACCCCGGCCCTGCCCTCGGGGACCCTAGGAGAGAAAGTGGGGAACGGCCTGGTGTGGTTGAGGGCAGGGCCTGGAGAGGGTCACTGATTGTGACCTTGGACACTGTGACCTCGGGGTAGGGGATAGGTGAGCCAAGGTAGTCCTGAAGAGGTGGGGCCTGATGCTGAGCAGTAAAACCCTGCCACTCATTTAAATATGCAAATGAGGCTACTAAACTGTTATGTAAAGGATGCACTAGTAATTTTGATTATGCAAATAAGCACAGAGCCTGAAAATCTGGCAGTCTGATTGGGGCTTCACATTTCAGTATGTAAATGAGTAAACCGCAGTTTCGGAAATATACTTTAATATGCAAATTTGTGCTGCTTTGCATGCTTTTGCTATGCAAATGAATGCAAGTATTCCTATCTGTTTGGGACTTTGACCTGAAAATACATGCAGGTTAGGTCATTTGGAGGTGTGGCCATGCAAATTAACCCCAGCAGTTTCTGTACTTGATGTCTTCTGAGTCTCCAGGCAGCTCTTGAATATGCAAATCAGAGTGCAGGCAGGTGGTGGGGCCTCCTCTGACCCTGCTCCTGATGTCAAATGTCCATCACAGGCATCTGATGGTGAAGATGCTCATGCAGGACCCAGTGGTGGCAAGGGCAGGGCCCATGGAGATGGTGAGGGCGGGACATCAGGAGGGGCGGGGCCACAGGGGTGGGTTTAGGTGTACTCCCCTCGGTGGGCCTGTCCCCTAACCCTGCCTCCACACACCTCACCCCATGTCCTGTGTCCTAGCACTGGGAAGTGATGCACTTGAGGGAAGCTTGCTCTGTCAATCAAACACAATGCACCAAGGGCATCATGGGAAATGGGTCACTGCTTCACAAACTCACCAGAAGCCCCGCCCCTTCAGTCACTCTCTCACCAGAATACCCGCCCGGACAGTCACTCACATATTGCTGTAAATAAGGATCAGGATAAACAAATAGGCCGAATAGATGTTTAATCAGGGAGAAATAACTTACAACCTAGACAGATGAACACCAGGAAATTCAACCCGATCCTCTCCTGTCCGAGTCACGCCAGAAAGAGAGAGCGCCTTCCTGGCCCCCTCTCCACCCCCCATCGTCCCATTTCAGCAGGAAGTAATCTTAATATGACTACGCCCCCTTTCCCTACCCTTGGAATTTTGGGATAATAGTCATCGTCTTCGGGTTGGTTTTAGTTATTTGGGATTGGGTGATGCTTACACTCAGGTTTATCTTTTAGACAGGAATAGGGAATGGTGGGTAAAGGTATGGTTTAGATGGGATATAAGTAGATTAGCCTATTTCCTTGAGAATTTGAGTATGAATGAGATAGTATTTTACAGCTTACATTGTTATGTATTCCTATGTGGTAAGCTATGTAAAATTAAGTTTATATTTTGTTATATTGTGTTAAATGTTTCCACTTATAATATTTTATGCACATTATTTTTTACCATATTCTATGTATGTATACTTTTCCTGTATTCAAGACATTTTGTATATTGATACAATTTGGGATATTTATCTTGCTGCCCATTATAGTTCTACCTCTTGTCTTGACACTTATACTCTACCTCTATTTTAGGGATTTACATGTAGGTATATGTAAATAGTTATATTGTTTAAGTATTTGTTCCTGCTTTACTCAGGAAAGTTTTAATGAGTCTTTTTAGCTAAGTTCCCGAGTATTACAGATTATCTTCACTCACATTTCCTGTACCTATGAGATTAGTCAGATATAGATGCTTAATCTTCAATCACTTCATAGACATGCAGAACATGGCATTTAAATGTTTTAATATTAGTACTCCATTGACATGAGACACTGTTGCTCCTGACAGCACCGTGCACTTTCCCGAAAATATGTTGGACACTGTTGTTGCTCCTGCTGGAGTTCAATCTCGCCTCAGCTAATGGCCTGTTGGGCATAGAATTGCCCCCATCTTGACCACTGATTTGGACATGCAGTCCTATGTGCTTGCAGGAGACAATTATAGAAGACTGCTTGACCTTGCCAAGTCAGGATAAGACAGCCATTCTATTTCCCTGCTGTTGTTGTGGTCTGTCAAGTTCTCTTGGCCTTAGCCAAATCTGGGTGTACCAACGTCGCTGTGAGACCTAGGGTGACTGTTCAGGTGGCTTGCTGTTTCTGTCCTTGCTGCACCTTTTGGAAGTTGTCCATCCGCATTTCCTGTCTACTCTAGTATTGTTAATTTCCTTCTCAGGTCTTGATGAGGTTGAAGATTAAACTATCACAACTATTATTCTCTCTTCCTAGTTAGATATATTAGGTACTAGACTTACGTTTTCCAGCTTAGGACAACTCTATTGTAAACTCCATTATGCCCTCACCCTAGGACTAGATATGTAGGTCATTTTGTTCTCGATTTTCCTTTTCTTAGAGCACACTTGTTATTCACTGTTTTGTATATAGTTTTGTATTAAGCCTAAACCTTTTCTTTAGACTAAAAGGGGAATTGTAGTGAGGTAGTCCTTCTGTAGCACTGACTACGCCCATTGGGGGGTGGAGCGATGGGCGGAGAGGACCTGAGGAAGGAGGTCGGAGGGGGCCAGGAAGGGGCTCTCTTTCTGGCGTGACTCAGACAGGAGAGGATCGGGTTGAATTTCCTGGTGTTCATCTGTCTAGGTTGTAAGTTATTTCTCCCTGATTAAACATCTATTCGGCCTATTTGTTTATCCTGATCCTTATTTACCGCAATACTCACATACTCATTCTCCATCTACAATCCTCATTATTGGGGTGTGGCCGGATGCTGGCTGACAGGGACGTGTGGTCCCACATCCGGGAAGATGGCAGCCAGCTCACGCATGCAGCGGTTGAGTGGAAACCCCACGGCATTGAAGAAATCCCCTTCCACGCGCTCTGCTAGGGCACCGCCTCGCGCCTGAAGCCCGTAGGTGCCAGCCTTGTCCCTGGGTGCAAGGCAAGGACGAGGTCACACCAGGTGCCATGCTCAGCCACACCCACGCCCGCCGGGGACAGCTCTTCCTTTTCAGGCCTCACTTCCAGGTTTCCTGGCCCCACCCACCCCACCCCGCACCCACTCACAGAGGCTCCCCGCTCTCCACGTATTCGCAGAGCCGTGGCTCCGATAGCCGCGAGAATGTCACACGGGTCTCTTCATGGAACAGTGACAATTCCACTTCTGCTTCTGGGTCCCCTTCCACCTCTGGGGCCTCTGGGCATGTGGAGCTCGGCTCCTGAAGCTGCCTCTGCCACAGTGGCCTCAAGATGGCCACACCGGTGATGACACTGTGCTGCTGGCCACTCAGCCTGGGCGGGGCCAGGGAAGGCGGGACAGGCGTGGTTGGCAAGGGGCAGGGCTGGGGTGGGCAGAGGCTGGAGCTCCATGCAGAGGCCCCGCCCACTCTGCCGTGGGTGTGTCTGCCCCGCCCCTTCAGGCCCCGCCCACCTGCGCAGCATCCTGTAGGCATCATCCTTGTCCTTTGGCTTCTCCAGGATGAAGCCATCCAAGGCCTGCAGTGGGCGAAGCCAGACGCCAAGGGGCCGGATCAGTGAGGGGCAGGGTGGGCAGGGCCGGAAGGAGCAGGGCCTCACTCACCACAATGGTGTCAGCTCCAATAATGACATCAGGAGGGTGCAGGTCCTGCAGAGCAGAGGGCGGGGGGTGAGGCTTGTGGGCGGGGCCTCGAAAGGAAGGGGTGCGGCCTACCACCTGACCAGAAGGGATGGGGCTGTCCTCACCCTGTGCAGCCTCAGCCGCGACGCCACCTCCAGAGCCTTCAGCTTTGCTGTCTCCCGGGCATATTCGGGCGTAGCCGGAAATCTCGCCTTCTCCAGGGACTCCTGGAAGTGGGAGGGTATGACCTCCTGTCAGTCACAGCAGGCCCCACCCCTGGAAGTCACAGCTGACAATCCCAGAGCAGGCCCTGCCCCTGGAAGTCACCATGGAGGACAGGATGCCCCGCCTCCTGGGGGAGCTGCTCCCCAGCACCACCCTCTTCCCCTGCAGCAGCCTGGTGAGTGGAACCAGCTCCATGTTGAAAGGATCGCACATTTCCGGTCTGGGGGTTCACTTCCGTTCTGGGAGGGACCAGAAATTGTCCACTTCCGGCTTGAGACAACCAATTCCGGTTCCTCCGAGATGATGGGACTTATTTCCTGCCCCTGGGTGCGCAAAAAGACGGCGGGGTTCAAGATGGTCATGGGCTACAGTGTAGGTAAAAGGAAACAGGAAATCCTGCCTGCTCCTGTCTATGTCAGAGCCTTAGCCTCAGGGACCGCAAGTCCTGCCTCCAGCACACACAGGAAGTGATTCAATGAATGAATGATTGTACAATGAATTAATGAGTTAATGACTGAATGGATGAGTAAATGAATGAATGTATGAATGAATGAATGAGCTAATGAATGAATGACTGAAATGACTGAATTACTTCATGAATGACTGACCTTTGACTGAATGAGTGAATGAATGACTGAATGAACTAATTAATGACTGAATCAATGAATGAATGACTACATGAATGAATGATTGAATGAATGACTGAATGAATGAGTGAATGACTGAGTAAATGAATTAATGACTGAATAAATGAATGAATGACTAAATGAATGAGTGATTGAATGAATGAGTGGCTGAGTGAATGACTGAATGAATGAGTGAATGAATGATTGAATGACAGGTGTTTGATTGACAGCTGTGTGCCCTACAGGCCACGCCTGTAACTCCTCTGACATCACAGCTCCCGTGACACCGCCCATCCCCTGGGAACCTCTCAGAAGTCATTAATTCCTGGTCAATGCTCCCATGCAGAAGTCCCGCCCCGATTTACCATGTTGCCGGAAGTCCCACCCCGGTTTCCCCGGCAACAGGAACCCTGCTGCCAACCGTGGCATAAACAGGAAACAGCGAAAACCAGAGGGGTGCACGGACCTAGGGTTGCGATCTCTGTTTCTGCCCTGTTCGCCGCACCCGGAAGTCCCACCTACCGCCTCGATGAGTGACAGGGGATATGCTCTGTGCTGCCTCTTTTGCGGTCAGAATCAGCCGTTTCTGACCTGTTCACTTGGACCTGTTAGTCCCGTCCCTTAAGGCGTTTCCTATCCGGCCCGCAATGTCCGATGCGATCAATTCCAGTCCTGGGCCGAAAGTGGATCCAATTTAATCGCTGTCCATTGGGCAGGGAATCGCATGTTGCACCATCCGTAAGCGGAAGTAATGTGCCGGAAGCGGAACTCAGGCCGCAGCACACTCCGTCCTGTTTACTTCATGGGTGGAACTCAAGTTGTGCATCTCTTCGTTGCAACCTTTCCTGGGGACCATTTTGTGTGAAGCTCAAGTCAGTGACTGGAAGCCTGACGTCCTTGGTTCACAAGCGGAAATCGTGTGTCAGTTTGGCCGGGTGGAACTAGAAGCATGTTTTCCATGTGTGTCTTCCGGGGACACTGACAGCCACGAACCGGAAGCTTTAGTTCGTGACCGGAAGGCGGAAGTCCTGAGATCTCAGCCGCTTGTGAGATCGCAGCCGCTTGTGCAGGGGACAGTCCAGGAACCGTGTGTTTGAGAAGGAGTTCCTGGGGACAGAGTTGTGAGAGGTGCTCAATGTCTGTAACTCTGTGTGTTCCGGTCACTCTAGGAGGTCTCTCTCCCCGGCAGAGCCTCAGTAATGACGGATAAACATCAGGCAGGCTGGCACACTGGTTGCTCCAGCGGGATAGAGGGGTCCAGTATTTTCAAAGCAGGTCCAAGAAATTTTCTGGAGGTGGAGGTGTTTATTTGACCCGCTCTCGGTCCCAGTGCTCAACCAGACCAGTGGAGCAGTGGGCGCAGTAGGACACAGGGTGGGGAAAGTGCGGGATCTGGGTGGGGTGCTTTGTAGATCAGAGTACTAGAACTTTACTCTCTAGAGATAAGATATAGGGCGTGAAAGACAAAAAAGTAAAGTTAGAGAAACGCCCCACTTTAAATGAAGGACATACTAACCTGGAAAGTTAACCCCTAGCAATATCTGTTCCTTGGAATCTGCTAACTTCCCCTCACAAGGCCCTGAGAAAACAAGATTCCAAGAATTTACACTGCCCCTCCTTTCTTGTGAGTCAGCAGGTGGTGAATGGGGTCTTTAAGAAACAAATAGATAACTGCACCTCCGGTTTGCCCAGACAAGATTAATTAGCACACCCTGAGGCCCTAAGGTCTGTTGACCCTAATAGGGAGACCAGCCTCAAAGGGTCATGTACTCAATGGACAGAGGGTCCCACCCCCTCCCTAAGCTTGGGGTATTTGCCTTTAAAAACACCTGTGCCGTGTGGCGGGGGTGGAGGGAGGAGATGGCTTCTTCTCACTAGTCTACCTGCTGGAGGGGCCCCTTTGCACAAATGTTTCGTGTTCATTAAAGCCTCTTGCATGTTGAAGCAACTGGACTGGACATTGAGTTCTTGGGGATACCGATGGAAACTGGGAGACTCCTCATTCTGAGGATCTTACAAAGCTTGAATTCTTGAATAATGCAGATTGTTTAAAACTGCTCACTGAGTAAGATGTGCTGGCTAACAGTAGTGGTCATACACAAAAATCTTCCTAGCTCCATTCCTCTCTAAATTTTCAACTTTCCACGAAGAATACTCTTTTTATAATTTTGTGTTTGTTAAGTGGTTTTTCTGAGGTTCAGGAATAAAACTCCTACAGTTATAGAGCAATGATCAAGCTTTCTGATGAGAGAAAGAAAATTATCATATTTGATCTGGTACCTGCTTTTAAAGCCAGTTTCAAGCGTTAATTTGGATAAAGCCTCCTTAATGGTTCTATTCATCCTTTCTACCTGTCCTGAACTCTAGGGTCTGTAAGCACAATGTAATTTCCAATTTATCCCCAGCAACCTGGCCACCAGCTGACTTACCTGGGAGACGAAGGCAGGCCCATTGTCTGATCCTATTACCTGTGGCATCCCATATCTGGGAAAGATTTCTTCCAATAGTTTCTTGGTGACCATTTTTGCAGTCTCATGTTTGGTAGGAAACACTTTTACCCATCCTGAAAAGGTGTCTATAAAAACCAGTAAATATTTATAACCATACATTTCAGGTTTGACTTCAGTAAAGTCTATTTCCCAATGGACACCAGGCCTATGGCCACGAAGCCGGGTTCCAGGATCCAGTTTGGTTTTTCCTTGGTTGATCTGGGCACAGGCCAGACAGTTAGCAGTTACTTGTTCCAGTAATAAATTCCGATTGGGAAGGTAAGTTCCAATTTCTTGTTTATCTAGCAAAGTTTTCATCTTTTTGGCACTCAAATGAGTCAGCTTATGGAGGTGGTCTATTAACATTTTTGCCATTTTTATAGGCAGTATAGTCTTTCCTTGGTAGACCCAGCATTGCCGATTGGGGTCATAATCTGCACCTAGTTTCTGAACAATGTCCAAATCCGTTTCATCATAGTCCCAATCTGGAGTCTTAGCTGTTTTCTTTTCAGTCAATATGCTAATAGTCAATAGTTGGGGGCTTAAGGCTGCTTGTTTGGCTGCTTCATCAGCCAGGCGATTTCCTTTTGCCTCCAGGCTTTCCCCCTTTTGATGTCCAGGGCAATGCATTATGCTCAATTTTTTAGGAAGGAACAGGGCCTTTAATAATGTCAAGATTTTATTTTTATTTTTGATTTCTTTGCCTTCTGATGTTAAAAGGCCCCTTCTCCGATAAATTTCTCCATGGACATGGGCAGTGGCAAAGGCATACCGGCTATCAGTGTACATATTAAGCTTCTTACCTGCTGCTATCTGGAGAGCCTGAGTCAGAGCAAAGGGTTCAGCTCGCTGAGCAGAGGTGCCTCCGGGGAGTGCAGTGACCCATATGACCTCTGAGGCATTCGTCACTGCAGCCCCTGCCCGTCTCTCACCATTTAGCAAGTAGCTGCTGCTGTCTGTGAACCAGGTGTAGTCTGTATCTTTCAAGGGCTGATCGGTCAGATCAGGACATATTCCATGCATCTCTGCAAGGATCTGCTGACAGTCATGGGAGGCTGGTTCCTCCAGCAGTGGTAACAAGGTGGCTGGGTTCAGGGTTATTATTAGGGGTGGCTGTTGTATGGCCAGCCCATGCCCCCTGTTTCTGCCCAGGCCAGGGGGTGTTGTTTTAACCATAAGTCCATTCCTTCCTGCTGTTCAGGAGGCTTTTTTAAAAAGTCTATATTTATTTTCCAATTGTAAAGTTAATATTTGAAGTGGAGCCCCTTGTGGGCCAGAGACTTTAGCTCCTGATCCTTCAAAATGGATCTGGGCTTTTAATTTAGTCAGTAGATCTCGACCCAGTAATGGATATGGACAGTCCGGTACATGCAAAAAGGAATGTGAGACTTTACCTGATGCGAGATGAACTTTTCTCTCCGTGGTCCATCGGTATTGTTTTTCTCCGGTGGCTCCTTGTACCCAAGCTGTTTTGGTACTCAATGGCCCGTGCGTTTCGGTGAGAACTAAATGTTGGGCTCCAGTGTCCACCAGGAAGGTGACTAGCTGCCCCTCCCCCCCGACTTTTAAGGTTAGCCTGGGCTGGGGGAGGGGGCTCCTGGCCCCAACTGCCCTAGTCTTAATCTAGGGCTAGAAGCTGAGTTGGTCTTTGGGGTCCGTCCCCATGCCTCTGATTTTTAGGTCTCTTAGGGCAATCTTTGACCCAATGGCCTTTTTCTTTGCAGTAGGCACACTGGTCTCGATCTACCCTGGGCCTCCTTCCTTTTTCCTTTCTTTCCTGACTTCCTGCACTATGATTATTCTGAGCTACAGTGGCCAGAATTTTGCTTAATTCTCTCCGGTTCCTATGATCCCTCTCTCTCTTCTCTCTCTCTCTCTCTCTCTCTCTCTCTCTCTCTCTCTTCTCTCTCTCTCTCCTCCTTTAGCTCCTTCTTAAACTTGTCCTCTCTTTCCTCCTGCAACTTTCTAAGTCTTTTTTTTTTTTTTTTTTTTAATCTCAGGTGTTTCTCTCTTTTTAAAGATCTTTTTTGCTTCCTTTACGAGATCCTGCAGGCTATAATCTTATAAATTATCTAATCTCTGCAACTTAGTCCTAATATCTGGAGCCGACTGCCAAATGAAAGCCATAGAAACATTGCCCCTTTGCTCATTACTATCAGGATCAAAGGGTGTATACATACGGTAGGCTTCCTTTAGCCTCTCCAAAAATGCAGTCGGAGTTTCCTCCGGTCCCTGGGTTATCTGTCT